AATTACCTGTCTTCACTGTTTCTCAGATTTCTTTAAGTATTTTCCAGCCTCTCATTCCCTAGGAAGCTCTGGGTTCTGACTTGAGGTATCCAGAGTTTCAAAGTTCTCAGTTCTCCATCCTCAAAGATGCCTCTTTTCTTTAGCTGACTTCTGAGCTAGGTGTTTGTATTCAGTGAAACCTATTCCAATCTGACACATATACTGTTCCCAATTTCTAGCTCAAGTTTAAACTTGAAACGGCTATAACACTTTGAAAGACTTGGGGAGTTCATCCACTGGTATTGTGAGATTTATCTCCTACTGCTAAGAGCCAACTGACTTTATTTTCCTTCTTAACTTTCCTTTTGCATACTGAAAGCTACTTACTGTGGATGAGAAGGGAGCTTGCAGGCTTTACAAGTTAAATATTTTCCACATTGTTTTTGTTGGTTTTGGTTTTCTAAGACAGAGTTTCACTATGCTCCTCAGGCTAGACTTCCAATCCTAGGCTCAAACATTCCTCCTATCTCCACTTCTTAGGTGGTTAGGGCTAACATGACCATCAACTACATGGTATGAAAACATTTAAATTTATAAACTAATTTTTTTCTAGTGACAATTTTGTTAGTATGTATGTAGCATTAAGTGGGTAAACCCTGCAAAGTGTTAGGCAATGAGAAGCACTCTTTTCCATTCTGTGCACCGTGAAGGCCATAAAGACCCCAGCTGCTTCTGTTAGCTAAAAAAAAAAAAAATTTACATTACAATTTTTATTTTTTTTAATCTATGGAATACATACATGGAATAAATTCTTTAGTGAAAGTTATATATTTTCATTATATGAGTAAATTGAATTATTTTTTCCCCATGGACGTCATTTGTCTACTGTAAAATAAACCTGCATCCTTGTGAGTGCCTCCTGGCTTAATACTTGAAAATTTTTTAATGTAGATGGGGGTAGAAGATTCAAAAAAAAAAAAAAGAGAAAGTAGGAGTTGGTGGTCATGTAAATGACCACTTTCCTTGTCATCAGAGGATATTAAGGTAAAAGACAATTCTATGTGATTTCTATCACATAAGCCACAGTCAAAGTGACTGATATTGGGCTGTAATAACCATTAACAACACCCTTGACAAGAGTGTAGGGTACTGTGAGATGGTCTGTATGTCAAATGCTCTGATTGGTCAATAAATAAAACACTGATTGGCCAGTGGCCAGGCAGGAAGTATAGGCAGGACTAACAGAGAGGAGAACTGAGAGAACAGGAAGGTGGGAGGAGACACTGCCAGCCGCCACCATGACAAGCAGCATGTGAAGATGCTGGTAAGCCACTAGCCACGTGGCAAGGTATAGATTTATAGAAATGGATTAATTTAAAATGTAAGAACTGGATAGCTAGAAGCCTGAGCCATTAGGCCAAACAGTTTAAACAATGTAAGTCTCTATGTGTTTACTCAGTTGGGTCAAAGTGGCTGTGGGACTGGCAGGTGAGAGAGATTTGTCCTGACTGTTCACCAGGCAGGACTGGAGAAAACTCCAGCTACAGTAGGGAGATGGGGATGTTATAATTTCCACTTGGTACAATCCATCCACACAGACAACTATTTGTACAATTATTCAAAAAAACAATTCAACTAAGACAGTTAAGGAAATACATGTATGACTCCAGTGGTGCCTGACAAGCAATGGAAGACTGGAGTAAGGAAGCCTTTCACCTAGCTTGGTCTCTGGCCTGAATGAGTCTAATCCTTACATTCACTGTGTCACCTGTCACCTGCTCCTGCAAATAAAAACCCTCTGCACCTCTGCCAGGCTCTGCCCCACAGCAGGGTTTTGTTGGAGCCTTAGCTGCAGGGTTGGGTGTGGGTTGCAGGTGTCTGGAGAGCACTGTGCACTTGCTGCACAGAAGTAGGTGGCTGAGTCTTCAGGCTGAGAGTCTGTGATGTGCAAGGAGAGCTGTTTATCACTTTTCCTGAAGAAGACGGTGAATCTTCCATCTTCCTTTTTTTTCGACATGGATCGTATGGCTATCAGAAGTGTAGGGCCTTCACCAGGGAACTGCAGGTACCATGGGAAGTAGTTAAATGCACTGTCTTCATAAGTGCAATTCAGAACTGAAGTCCCTCCTTCCCAGACTGTCAGAGATTGGGTACTTTGTCTCACCTGCTGTTGGTCACGTCTGTCCTATTATTGGCCACTCACCCATGTGTAGAGAAATAACAAATGTCATTAGGTTCCCGGGTATGTACTTGGTGTTGATGCTTTTAACATTTATGATTTTGTCTGGTGCCCCAGTTCCCTCATGCATCCACATAAATTCCATATTCTCAAGTTTCTCCTTCATGACTCACAGGCTAGGTGAAGGGCCAGGACTAAAAATGATGCTTTCAGGATCTTGTCCATTCCTCCTAGATTGAAGCTAGGGGAGAACTCGGAAGGCCTTTTATCTCCCCTAGAACACAGACTCTAACTTCACAGGCTCTAAGTTCTTTCAACAGGCTCCACTCCTCACAAACACTTTGTCTAAAGCTATTTCTGACATAGGAAGTATTCCCAAATTTTGTTCAAAGTTACTATTGCTGAAAATACAGTCACTGAGAATCAGAAATCCTGTCATTGTAATACTATCATTATACACTGTTGGCAGAAATGTGTATTAATATAGTCACCAAGAATAGCAGTGTGAATTTTCTGAAAAACACAAAGAAAGAAAGAAAGAAAGAAAGAAAGAAAAAAGAAAGAAAGGGAGGAATGGAAGGAGGGAGGGAGAGAGGAAGGAATGAAGGTAAAAAAGAAGAAAGAAAAGAAAGAAAGGAAGGAAGGAAGGAAGAAAAAAGGAAGAAGGAAGAAAGAAAGAAAGAAAAGAAAAGAAAAATAATAAAATTCTATCTAAATAGATTATACTTCAGCATCCTAGGGATTTTTTGTTCCTTTTTTTTTTACACTTTGGTGTCTTTTCTTTTTCCTTTACTCCTTTCAGCCAGACATCTGTCCAGCACACACTACCTCCATCATCTATGGGGAACACCTTCCATGATGTCCTAAAGTCTCAAATCACAAATATTGCCGAGCCACACACACACATTGTGTTTTCTTCTATACATACATATGCATCCCTGAAAAGCTTTAACACTTTTACTGAAATGAAATACATGTGCCTTTTCTTATGCATATCTAAATGGCAGCACCACACAGCACTGATACCTGCACAGTCGTTCTGATGACACAGATGGCTGCTCAGTGAAAACAGACCAGCGGCATGGACAGCAGAGAGATGCAGAACAAAGAAGATCACAATTAGTGGTGGGGGGTTCTGATAATACCAAGAAGAAGAGGTGGTTTAAAACAAATGGACTTCTTATTTCTGAAGTTTTCACTAGCTATTAAAATATCAAATGATTAAAGGCATGCGCCACCACCGCACACCTTTAATCCCAGTACTTAGGAGGCAGAGCCAGGTGGATCTCTGTGAGTTCAAGGCCAGCCTGGTCTCCAAAGCGAGTTCCAGGAAAGGCGCAAAGCTACACAGAGAAACCCTGTCTCGAAAAACCAAAAAAAAAAAAAAAAAAAAAAATCAAATGATTGAAAACAGGGGCATGAAACTGAAAAAGGTAAGGATGAGGAAGAAGTTCTGTTCATTTGCTGAGTGTCTAACTGCCTACTGTACAGTAGTGCTCGGGTGTCTTTCATGACACACACTGTTCTATCTTCATTTCTTGTCTCAGCACTGAAGAACAGAAAACTGAAGCCTACCGAAGTCACCTGTGTGTCTAGACAGGATGATGAAGGAAGGGTGTGGACACTGCTTCCTGATCCAGTCAGAGAAGATCCTGATGGAGAAGACTGAGCTGACTTCAAACCATGGGTAGATTTCCCAGTGGAAAGGATATATATAACATAATTCTAGGCACAGGTCATATCAGGGTGACTGGAGATCAGACCAAGTGTGGGTGACAACCTTAGAAATGTACATTAGAGAAGGTGATGTGGCCCCAGCCATGAAGGATAGCATATATCTTCATAGTGTTCACTTGCAAATTCCTACTTGTCCTCACTATGGGCCCAGGATATTCAGGTATAATATAGGTAAAAGGCTAGACAGATGCATGTTTTCTTCTCTAGTTAAACTTAAGGGCGGAGGAGATAATGGTTTTGTTATTTAAAATAATCATCTCTAGCTTATTGAGCAGTGTGTGGAAGAGCCACAACCTTCACCTGCTCTGAAGCAGCACTGCCCCTCTGTGGACAAATAAGGTCTTCACTCAACAGTGTCCTGAGCTTAGAAGACCAAGCCTTGAAGAAAGAAATGCATTGAATCTTCCCCTGGAGCCAATATTTTTGACATGGAATGTGAATGTGTCTTTGCTGAGGTCAGGTATAGCCTAGTTTCTCTCTACCCCTTCCAGACTTTCCTCCATGTGTCCACATGGTTCCCTATCTTTCTATTGAGCCAAAAACTACCTCATTCTGGAGAATGAGAGAAGCCAGTCATAAGACAAAAGGAGGTGACAATGCTTGTTATTTACAATAAAGCTTATAAAATAAGCAAATGTTTGGATTTCATGTAAAATTTATTGATCCCTTACATAGACTAATTGTATACATGGTGATTATTAAATCATAAACTTTAGTTTTCTTTCACTCATTTTTTATCATTTCTTTATTTTTGAGATTATAATATAATCATGTCAATCCCTCCCTCCAAAACTTCCTGTGTTCCCTCCTTGCTCTCTTTCAACTTTATGGCTTTTTCTTTCATTAATCATTGTTACACATATGTGTATAATCATATTTATTCTAAAACACATAAATACAATATGCTCATCTGTAAAATGTTACTTATAAGTCCTCAATTAGCTCTAAGATGGATATTTATGATTCAGGAGGGAGAATATATTGAGAATTTAAAGACCCAAATCCTTAACCTACATAGTCAAAAGCTTACCAGAAGTTAAAACTCTTTCTATACAGAAAACGGATATTAAATCAAGCAGATATACTATGTTAAAATTTTCATGTCTCATGATAGGGAAGAGCCACACCCACCCCGCTGAAGGTTTTTGTACTGGCTGCAGGTGTGTGGGGAGCACTGTGCACTCATAGCACAGAAATAAGTGCCTGAGTCTGTGGTCTGGGAGGAGGAAATGTATAAAGAGCTGCGACGTTCCTTAGTGACTGTTGTGGACATCAGTCTTCCACTCTGCTTTGTTCCAGAAGGATTGTAAATCAGAATCTTCAGATGTCCCCCAGGACTTTGGTAAAACCACTGCACACTGCTCAGAACTGTGGAAAAGTTGCACTGCAGTTCTGCACGCTCTCCCTCCTGCAGAACCAAGGACACAGGACTCTGCTTCACTTGTTGACCTTTCACCCCTGGTTAGAAACAGAGAAAGAGACACAGATGGGGTCACTGAGCATCCACAGAACCCTGAACACATCCCATGTCCTCTGAGAAGGTGGGAGCTCTGCAGGACTCCTGAGCTGCTTCCCCACCCTCCATGTGCTGACAGAATCCTCTCTGTCCCTGAATGTGGACAGCCAGACTCACAGCAAACCTGGGTGCACAGCAGCCCCAGCAGAGAGCACAGCAGCCTCTTCATGGTGCTTGTCTGGCTGCTGGAGACAGAAGCAAGGAACCAAGCCCTGGGCTGTGGTGTCAGGATGGCTGTTAAATGTCCCTCCTCCTGCCACCAGTCAGCTCCACCCAGGAACCCTGCCAGGCCAGACACTGCAGAGTTCCCTCCCAGCCTTCTGAGCCTGAAGCTCCTCCCAAGCCAGACCTGCCTGAGAGTCTGGGTGGAGTGCAGTGGGGGGCAGGGCATTTTGAGATGACCCTGGAGTTGAATGGAGTTAGGGATCCAGGAAGCAGGAGAGGACCAGCTCCTCCCAGGAGAAAAAGCCTCAGCCACACACAGAGCCAGGCATATGCAGAGAAGCAACAGCTAAAGGTTTAACTCAGGAAACAGATGCACGTTCTGACTAAAGACCCTTTACTGAGGCCTGAGGAATGGCTTAGCAGATAAGGGTCCTTGTCCTTCCAAGAGGCCTTAGTTCCCTCTCCAGCATCTACTTTAGGTGACTCACAGCTGTCTGTAGCTCCAGCTCCTGGGACCTGATGCTCTCTTCTGTCCTCCTGAGAACCTGTACACAGGTACCATACATTTTACATAGACCCACTCTCATACACATTGAAAAATAACAAGAATCTTCACCCATGAAATAATTTAAGTAAAATCACTGCAGTAGCAAAACAAACAGCATTATAATGATAGAGTAAGTATAGATGTAATGGTTTAATAGTTTTAGCATCATTTTAAAAATTGGGATACTCCTGCACCAGTAAAGTTTTGTTCCAAATATTGTTTTAAATATTACTGTTGGGAATCTCTGCTCAGGCTCCACTCCTCCAATTCCAGATCCTGCCCCTCAGAAAGCCCACCAAGGGTCGGTTCCTCTCCTAGAGATGTTCAAGACCACATCTACAGGGTACTTACGACGTGGTCTCTAGACCTGCAAAATGATTTCTCTCCTGCTTCCTTTCCAAGAGTCACCCAGGAGTTGCTTTGCTCACATTAAAACTGATCTTATTAATTTGGCCTGATATGATTTATTGCATCAGCGGAGAAATCCACTATCAGGGTACAGAAAACATTCAATGACAGCATAAGAAGGAAGTGCAATGGGGAAAACCAATATAGGAATCCTGTGTTCCAGAGCGACAGGGGCAGCAGTGCTGGTGTGCTATTGCACATGGTGACTGCTTGGAACAATGCACTAGAGTTCATAACAGTAGAGGAATGCATTTGAAAGTTTTCACTACAAAGACAATTGCTTGAGAAATGAGACTAGACGTGAAACATGAACAGCATGAGGACTGGGAGAGGTAGGACAGGGGTTGCTCTGAGCTTGAGGAGGTTTAGATACCTTTGTCATCAGGACAATGCAGAGACAATGGGGAAGAGACACTGTCTTTCCCTTGGCCTGTCTCTGGCATCTGCATAAAGTATGTTCTGTCAGAACACCTACCAGAGCAGTGGAAAAGATTTTAAAATGTAGCTATTCAGTAACTTCATCTGTGAACATAATGTATTCAAATCATACTCACCACTACCACCCTGCTCTCCCTACAACTCCTCCCAGAACCCACTAAATCCCTCTCCCCTGCATAAGCAAGGAAGCCAGAACAGGACCATGAGGGCCAGAAGAAAGAGCTTAGGAGAAAGTGGTACGGCAGTAGAACATAGGTAATGTAATGTCAAAGGGGCAGGAGAGGCACTAAGGGGAGAGGGATGTGACAGGGTAGGGGGAGAAGGAACGTTTCTGTGTGTTTATTCTAACCTATGAAAACATCATTTACCTTTTAGAAAGGAGTGTCCTCTAGAGGCCCAATTGAGAAATAGCAAGTTCACAAGGGCAGTAGACTTCCCCCTGTCTTTGCTGACTTCTGAATGTGAATTCCAAGGCTTTCTGATCACGCACAGAGGAAGCTTAATGCTCTCTAAGCAGAGACTTGTGAGTTTTTAGAAAAGAAGAATACAAAGTTATGAACTGAAATAGGAGAATATGATACTTTAGAGTGAGAAAATTACAGAATCTTTACATATTTCAAAACAAGTACCAGGGACATAGAAATCAGAATACTGCATAGTTACCAGATTTCTACACAACGCCATCAAAATAACCAAGAAAAAGATGCGATTGATGTTGCTAGGAATATTGTAGATTTGTTATTACATGAAGAGTAAACTAAGAAGTACTAATTTGAATAGTTTATAAAAGCACAATACAAAAAACAAACCAGCAAGTCTGCTACAGACAGTCTTCACTTTGATGAACTGAAATTCAAATTCAACATGAAGAGAGACTTAGCAACCTATGCAGTCCCTTGACTTTTCTTATAAAACATAACATAATTCAGAATTGTCACCTGGCACAGTCTACGCCTTTCCCACTGAGAAAACTATGCCATGCATGAACACTAGAGGGCAGGAGTTATGAGCATTGCATTCCAATTAGACTACCACAATTCTCCCTCTAGCAAGGTATTTTGAGTGTTAATTGGAGGAATAAGTCCCTGTCTCTCCTCCTCTCCGTACCCCTCTCCCCCTCTCTCCTTCCGTCCCTCCCCCTACCCCTCTCTCTGTAGTCTGTGTGTGTGGTATCAATCAAAATGAAGTCGCTGAGATCCTTAACAGGTAACATTCAATGAGGTAATTTTGTGCCAAAGGAAGAACACAAAGGACAGAATCCTCTTTAGACAGATCAGTGTGCCCAGTGTGGCAGCAGCAAGCAGTGAGAACAGGAAAGAATATTGGAAGCTGTATTATATTCAACAATATAGGGAGGGGAGCTACAGATTCCAACACCAGAAACTGGTGATAAAACAACATGACTTTGAGTTAAGGAACCAACAAGCAAATAGTCACAATGTAAAACGGCATTAGCTAAAGGCTGCAAAATCTTGATGGCAGCTCCTATGTGTACAATGAATGACAGTGGGTCACGTGAATAAGTCCAACTCAGTCATTCATCCTAGCCAGATCAAAGACATATTTATGGCCACTTTATCACCAACTGGCAGGTGAAAATTGTAATTGAGGGGTATTTGGTGATGAACAGTCTTCAAAATATTTTACTTTTTGAACACCACTTAAAACTGAAGACAATTTAATCATCACTGGGCTCTCCTTAGACCTTGAGTTGGTTTGGGTAAGGGACTCTGGAGCATGTGCTTCATTATCCCCACATTAAATATTCTTCCAATCTGGATAATTTATCACGTATGTGTTCTACAAAGAAATCTTAATATAACAATTTATCACATTAGTATTCATATTATGGTCTTTTACATGCATAAATTTAGCTTTGGAAAAATTAGGTGAATTTATTAAACAACAATCTCAGTATCAGGCATGGGAGTTATTGCTCAGGGAGGCCTCAGAAGTATACAAAACAACACTGGATATTGTCATGGTTCTTGGTTGCCCACTATAACTAGATGGTGAAAGATTATGGCTAAAGCCACCACATTCTACAATTGCATGACGTAGAGAAATCAACCTTGAACTGACTGAAGAAAGTCCTCCTTGCTGCTTAGCTTTCGTAGCTGGAAGGTCCTATGCAGGCTGCTGGGGAAGAAAGGTCCCAAGTGTATTAGCCAGAGCTGAACCCTGCATGCTACAGTACTGAACTTCCAGGTAATATATGCTCAGTGGTGTAATTGTGGCCTGACTGCTATGGAATAACAATGTTTTCTGATTGGATTTGAAACCTAATCAACAGGAAGGAATTCATGCCTAGTACAGTGACATGGTCAAAAATCCCGTGGTTCAGGAGGCCTTAGGTACTAGGAGGAAACTACTATTGTTATTTTGCTAAATGGTCATATCAAACTGCCTTCTAAGTGTGTGTTTATACTCGAGGATTATTGCTAGTCTCCGCTTTGGTTGGAATATGTGTTTCAGTGAGTTTCTATATAAGGTTTTCCACACTGTTTTGTTCAAATGTCTCTAGTGTTAGTTATCACTATGCCATATTCCTCCCTCTACCCTGCCCTCTCATTCTCATCTATTAATCCTGCTCGTTCCATTTCCCCTTTTATGGAAGTCATTTTCTGTTTCCCCCTCCCCTGAAGACCCCCTCCTCCCTCATGGCTTCGTATTGATACTTAACATCTATGGATATTTCAAATGAAACACACATGTTAAAAGCTAGCATCCACATACTTGAGAAAATACTCTGTTTTTCTCAGTCTGGGTTATCTTGCTCTGGATGACTGTTTGCAGTTCTACCATTTACCTGAAAATTTCATAATTTCATTTTTCTTATCAGCTGAATAAAACCCTACTGTGTAAATGTACCACATTTTCACAATTCACTCATCAGTTGATGGACATCTAGAGTGTTTCCAGTTCCTAGTGATTATGGATAGAGCAACAGTGAACATGGAGGAGCAAGCATCTCTGTGGAAATATGGAGAAACTTTTGGTTAATTCCCCAAGACTGGCATAGCTAAATCTTGTGGTAGATCTGTGGTCAGAATTTGGAGGAAACTCCACACTGATTTCCATATTGTTTGTACCCATTTGTATTCACGTTGACAATAAGATTTCTCCCTCATGTCATCCTCTCAGGGGGTGTCCCGGGTCCTCTGGCTCTTCTGCTCCTTTTCTGTAGTGCTCCCTGAGCCTCATGTGTAGGGATTGCATTGTAGATGGATTAACTGGGACTAGAGAACTTACAATATTTATTCTCTGATTTTTGAGCAGTTGTCTATGACTATAGTAGCCCCTCTGTGCTTCAAAGTGAAACTTCTTTCATGAGGGTTTAGAACTACACTTATCTGTGTGTATTAGTGGTGACATTTAGGAGGAGCTGCAGTCACCAATGAAGCTTATGGAGTAACACTCACCAGTGAGCACAGCTAGGATGAGTGTATTATGGAGAGGCAATGCCCCCATGGGGGTGTCTCCATAAAGCCCCTTACTTCTGCTAGTCCTTCTCCTGCTTGCTGCTATCTTGTACTTACTGCATTTGTCATGGTATAGTTTCATATTGGGAGAATCCCACTGTATTTATTGTAGTGAGATTATTTTATGGG